GCGACCGGCCGCCTGCCACAGACGGTTATCGTACTGAACTCGCGCTCACACAGCAGAAAGTAGATGATCCGTCACTCCCTTCAGAGAATCGTTCCGCAAATTCCGAGGGCAGACTTGAGTTCAGCGCCTTACGACAGGTTCGTCTATCATCTTATTGCAAATAGCCAGATCGACCTGTTAGGGTAAGTCTAAGTCTTGTAACTCACGCCAATCACGCCTTATAAAAGAGCGTTGAAAAGACGTGAAGGACCGGAGAAAAAGAGTGGCTTTAACTTCAGTATGTATGATCCGTCTTCCGAGTTCCCGAGTATATAAGCTATGGCCCAAGCTAGTGAAGCATAACATAATTTTTCCGAGCTAGTGGAAGCGTAACATACTTTTGAGTTGCCTATGATTTTAAAAGCCTCAAGTAGGACCCCGTGGTACAAGCAAACTTGTGCGACGTCAGGGAGGGAGAGACGTCGTACCTAAGTTGCACTTGACGGTTTTTTCTGCTCTTTTCTTTTTCTGTTCTTTCTGGCGTTTCAATCAGCACCTCGTGGTTCATAGACATTCGTGAGTGCAGGTTCATGACTGTATACTACTTCCCTTAATGTGACTTGTCTTTAATGAACAGTGTTTAGGAAGCCCTTCTCTGCGCTTCATACTTTGAAAAGAGGTAAAATAAGACTTAATTCGATTTTCCCATGGGAGATCGTCGGAAATCACTATAGAAAGCACTGAATACCATAGATATTGCAGCGACCAAGTGAGAATAATGTTATGATAAATAATCACAGGAATACCAGCAAACACGAAAGCCCATCCCAAACCTGAAATTGGTCAATTTTTCTAAAAAAAGTTTTTATCTGATTGAGCTGTCTGAATTAATTTTCTAAGAAAGAGAGCAGCATTTCGCGCAAATCGACTCGTACGATTGATCTCCTGGTCACGATGCACCGCGACCATGCGCTTGTTATGCTAACTATCTCAGAACTTGTGGTATATAGACGACGAACAGACTGGTGAGTTATACTTCATCATCCCCCGAACTTTAAGGTTCCTAAATTTCTCGAAATCAAAATAAAGAAATGCATAAGCGAACCACAAGTAATTGGCATCAATCGTTGGAATGCAATATCAGCAGTTTGGCCGGCGTATTGTCCGATACAAAGGTGGAGGTAGAGCATCGGGAACCCAATAAAAATCTGACAAAAGATATACGGAGCGAAGAATATACCTAAAATACCGCTATTGTGAAATAATGACAGCTCTCCACTTTTTTTTGCATCACGCAATATTTCTAGCTTAAGTCGATGCTAACTTGATTGTTAAATAGAAAGGCATACCGCAAGGTTTCGTACTTAGCGTTACTCCTGCTCGACAAAGATTTTTTTCAGGGGTTTTGTGGGTGATATGAGACGTTAAGGGTTAATTTGACCGACGCCTTTACGCCGGGGTAAGTCGGTGTTAGTGGATAGGTTATGAGGATAGGAAAGAGAGAGAAAAGAAGAGTAGAACAAACTTCATGCCTGTGAGGCAGAACAAAGAGTGCCCAACAATCGTCAAAAAAGCGTCTGTTTTCCTGCGGTACAACTCACGTGTAAGGTTGGGGTTCGAGGGGCAATCATCGGTGACGGAATGATGGCGGGAATGAGGGGATTTGGAGGTTTCTAGAAAACATGAAAAGGTGTCAGAAAGTTGAGAAATCTTGGAGGGATGGTTTGTAGCATGGGGAACAGAGATGGTGTCGTGACTGGCACACGACCGTCCGTGGGGGGTTTGACGGGGCGCCATGAGGAAAACGCGCCCTGGTTGCACTGTCGTCGGACGCTGAACTCCATGTATCACGGGGAACCGCGCGTTCGCAGTACTAGCCATTGTCATCATAATCTTAAATCAGCATCGTCCTGCGCTGCGTCGTAAAGCGCTAATGGCCAACCGGGTGCGACCAGTGCCGCCATTTCCAACGTCCTTTTCGTAATCCATCCCTTGAGTCTTAGTCCAGCAGCAGCACTGACAGTGGATCAGTCGCTTGCCACTCTCTCGCTCTTCCGTCATCCCGCGCGTATGCTAATCCACCTTATTCATTTGTAAACGTTACTATATCTACCATCTATTATTCGTATATACCTTCTGTGTCGTGTCCTTAACTGTATTGGTTTGTTGAATGTTTTCCATTTAACTATTTTCTTACATGAAGATGTTGGTGCAACCTCTGTCATCTTATTGTGGCCTTAGCGGATAGTACATGGGTTCGAGTTCGACTTCCACATAGCAAGGGGCAGGCCCTATCCAGCCAGGCAGGCTTTACGGGAGCATTCGACGACGCGACTTCCCCTTGTAGGAGGGTGCGGGCACTTACAACCCGCGTTCTGGCGTGACCCAGGTGCACCCTGCCAATGCTAATCTTGTCTGCACTTGGGCAAGACAGATGGGGAATCGTACTAGAAGAGGGAATAGGAGGGAGAGCGGTATTTTGCAAAAGTTTCAGCGACAAGAAATACCCTGCGTTCCTACACGATTTAAATGTGCAGATTTTGGATTTCTTCTTCTCAATAGGGAATTTTGCTGGGTTAATGGGAGGGGCAATCTGTGGCGTGCTCTTGCTCTCATTCTCTTCCTTTCTAGAGAATCTCCGACTCACGTTCGAGTGCGGAGTCCTCTTTCCTCTCTCCAAGTAATAGAATGGACCTGGTGCAATTTCCAAAACAAATTCAAAATTTGTGGCTGGGCTGACGCTATATGGATTGAAGCACTACCGTTTTTTTGCCTCTCGCCATGCACGACTGGTTTGGCGGGTATGTGGACGCTCATCAAGGCTTCCCTATTCAGGAAAAAACTCACTGGTGGCGCGCACGCGTCGCGCATTGGCTGCTATCACAGCCTACCAGTTCAAAGACAGTAGATTTGCTTGCACTTTATGGAGGGCAGTGATGAACCCATGGAACACAGCTGAGGAATATATTTCAATAACAAGGCTACTGTGAACGCCGATGGTTGTTACGGCTGCGCACTCCAGCGTTATTGACTGGAGTCCGACACAGAGTGAGGAATTGTGAGGGCGACGGTGGTCGCGGTGGGCGGATGGGCAAAGAACGCGGGAATAGATCGAGAGGCAGAGCGCGTTTTGGGTGGTCTCGCACTGACCACCGCGAATCGCGCGGATGGGGTGGTATAAAAGTCCTCGGAGCACAACTGAGATAGTTCGTCAACGGACTCCTTCAGTCTGTCACCCTTCCCTCTTGTTCCAAGATACGCCACGCCGCTCTCCTCTTCCTTCTATCGTCTACAGTGCTATTTCTAGTTCTGGTACATTGTTATTCGTGCGTTCTAATAAATTACTGTTTATCGTCGCGTCCTCCGAAACATTGAGAGAAACTAGGGAGATACCTCAGGAAATGAAGAAGCAACTGAGCAGCAGAAAGCTAGTCTATGAAAACGCAAAGGCGGCAGCGCTTTTCATTTTACAGCCCCCGTTACGTCATCGCTGCGACAAAACTCGGTACGCTGCGCGTACACACCAGCGGTGAGTTTCTTCGCAGTGATGACAGCGGTGGTCATTGTGCGGCCCACACCGCGTCCCTGAATCTTATAATTTTCATCCGAAGTGGCTCTTTTCGACAACTTCGCCGATTTGAGCCATTTCACGGCATTTTTGCTTCATCTCCGGCCGGGTGTGTCGTTAGGTCCGCCTGGCCGGAAAACTCGCCCGCATGCGCCGCCAGTGAAACTTCTCTCTCTCATCCTATCCAGCTGAGATTGTGACGCTTTGGTGGACTGTCCGCGCC